TGGCATCTCTTATGTTCTTATGTTCTTATGTTCCCCTCCCCACAACAGACACCCTGTGAGGTAGGTGGGGCTGAGAGAGCTCTGACAGAACTGCCCTTTCAAAGACAGCTCTTGTTAGAACTATGGCTTGCCGAAGGTCATCCAGCAGCTGCAAGTGGAGAAGTGGGGAATCAAACCTGGTTCTCCCAGATTAGAGTCCGCACACTTAACCACTACACCAAACTGGCAATGACTCACAAAAGCTCATACCCTGCCACAAATTTTGCTAGTTGTTAAGGTGCTACTGGATTCCCATGAGTTAGATTACACTGAGAGTGTGTGACTGGTCCTTGGTTCCTCTGTTCCTTGTCTGACACTTTAAATATTACACCACAGAATCATTGCTCATCCTGGTAATGGTCTTTGCCAACCGTTCATTCCAGCCTATGAGCTATTCCAGAGCCTGACTTCGACCTAGTTTCGGATGGGTAGCTGTGTTATCTGAGGAAGCAAGCTTTGACTTACAGGTGCTTATGCCCTGAAAAATCTTGTGATGAAAAACCCCCTACCTTGATTTCTTGGAAAAACAAGATTTGGGAACATTTTCTATTGGGCAAAATGACCTCACAGAATGCGGCACTCACCTTGGGCAGTAGTTTACATAAATTCCAAGGAATTTGGTTTCCAATGATCGCATACCTATCTGAGGGAGACTTTGTTCCTAATAATCGTCATTACCCGAAACTCTTATTCTTTTGAACTATCTAAAATTCTGTTTGTTTCTCAGTTACTGTATAGATTGTCACTTCTATACTGTTAGACATGAAGTATTATCCACTCATGCAGTTTACAGTTTCTTTGTGTTAAATGTTATATTTTCAAAAAAATATAGAGTCTTAAAAAAAATCTTGTTGGTGTTTAAGGTGCTACTGGATTTTGTTCTGAGTTCAACACAGAGAAGGGTTCTTCTGGTGTGACTTGAATTCTGAAATAGGCGTAACCTGCAAGGAAAAAGGCTGCAGTATTGAGAAAGAGGCACACCCCTGTTATGATAAAAGCCCTGCTGGATCAAACCAGTGGTCCATCTAATTCAGCATCCTTTCTCACACAGTGGCCAACCAGTTCTTCTGGACGGCCAGCAACAGGGCATAGAGGCCGAGGCCTTCATAAGAACATTAGAAGAGCCCTGCTGAATCATGCCAGTGGTCCATCTAGTCCAGTATCCTGTCTTACATAGAATCCAACCAGTTCCTCTGGATGGCAAACAACAGGGCATAGAGGCCGAGACCTTCCCCTGATGCTGCCTCCTGGCTCTGGTATTCAGAGGCTTAGTACCTCTGAATGTGGAGGTTCCCCTCAGTCGCCATGGCTAGTAGCCATTGATACACTTGTCCTCCACAAATCTATCTAATCCCCTTTTAAAGCTGCTTATTCCTGTGACCATCACTATATCCTCTGGCAGCAAATTCCAGATTTTTATCACTCTCTTTCTAAAGAATAATATGGGTAGCCGTGCTTGTCTGTCTGTAGCAGCAGAAATGAACAAGAGTCCAGTTAAAGACTAACAAAATATGTGGCAGGGCATGAGCTGAAGAAGTGAGCAGTGACTCGCAAATTCTCACATACCCCGCCACATATTTTGTTAGTCTTTAAGGTGCTACTGGACTCTCGCTCTTTTCTTCTGTGTAAAGTAGTCTTTTCTTTTGTCTGTCTGGAACCTACTGCCCATCAGCTTCATTGGATGCCCTCAAGTTCCAGTCTTTTTGGGAGAGAGAGAAAAATTTCTCCTTGTCAGCTCTCTCCACCCCATGCGTAATTTTTATACACCTCTATCATGGCCCTCTATCGTGTCCCAGAATTTACAGGAAATGTGCCCCCCATTCTCATGTCTCTACAAACCTCTATCATGGCCCTCTATCGTGTCCCAGAATTTACAGGAAATGTGCCCCCCATTCTCATGTCTCATTAAAACGTGTTGTTTCTGTCTTGGGTGAAGGGACCTATGTGATGACAGTGACGGCGAACGACGCAGACGACGGCACGACAGCCAATGGAATGGTGAGATACCGGATCGTGACTCAAACCCCCCAGAGCCCGTCACAGAACATGTTTACCATTAACAGCGAGACAGGAGACATTGTCACAGTGGCGGCTGGACTCGACAGAGAGGTAAGACCTCAGAATAAATCTCAGTGAAGACGGCCTCTGGTTTAACAGCACCTGGGCTTTTGGCTCCTTTTGTGCACTCATGTGAAATGGCTCTAAAGTGTGTGTGCGCGTGTGGACCCCGTTCATCGTAGAGTGATCGGAGCAAGTTAATTTGCAGCTGTCAAAGTAAATTTATTTCTGTTAAGAATATCACACAATTAAAAATTTGTTTAGTAACACAGTAAGCCTGGAACTGTTCGCTGTTCAGATGTTGATAACGCATCTGAGAACGTCAGCCAGGCTTATTTGTATGGTTGCCAGCTCTGGGTTGGGAAATTCCTGGAGATTTCAGGGGGTGGCGCCTGGGAAGGGTGGGATTTGGGGAGGGACCTCAGTGGGGTGTAATGCCATAGAGTCTACCATATAAAGTGACCATTTTCTGCAGGGGAACTGATCTGTCATTTGGAGAGCAGTCGTAATCCCAGGAGATCTCCAGCCACCACCTGGAGGCTGGCAACCTGATTTATTTGGAGATGGGTCATTTGCCCAGGAAAAGCAATGTCTGGGAGGGACCTGATTTTGGTTTGCAAGCTCTCTACAGCGTGCTGGTTTTTGTCTGCAAGCGCTCTACAGCGGCTATCTCCTTTTGATATGGCACAAATGGACCCAGAACCACAGCTAAAGGGAAAGTGACCGGCAGGGTAGTCTATGGATAGTTCTACAGAAGTACTACTGGTGGATGGATGGGTTGACCCAGGATTTAAGGTGTTACCTGGTCTGGATGGTGCTGTACTCCCCTTGAAGGAACAGGTCTGCAGTCTGGGGTTTTTATAATTTATTTATTTGGATTTATACCCTGCCCTCCCCACCAAAATGTGATTTTGTCATATATATTTTAAATTGTTTTCTGCCTTGGTGGACCTTGTAAGGGCAGAGAAGCGAGATACACAGTTTGTAGATGATGATGATGACAATGGATGATGATGACAATGGATGATGATGATGATGATGATGATGATGATGATGATGATGATGATGATGATGATGATGATGATGATGATAGGGGAAGGTTTAGGATCCACCATCTGCCTATTGTTTTTCTCCAGCAGAGTGCCTCTGGTCCTTTCCACACTTGGATCTCATCCCTGGTTTTATCAGAGTTCAACTTGGGACACAATACCTTGCATTTATCCCAGGTTATAACAGCCTCCGTTTATCCCGGGACAAGGGCGGGGCGAAACCAGGCTGAGCTCAATGTAATGTGGAAACAAAAAATACTCTGAGATAATTACAGGGGTGAACTTGCGTGTAGTGTAGAATGTAAGTTCGGGGACAGGGTTCAACCAGGATTTAAGGTCTAGTGCAGAAAGGACCTCTGTCTCTTTATAATTCTGTCGGCTTTTGGGTGCCACACTTTAAGAAGGGTGTTGAACAACTCTGAATGGTTCATTTCAGTCTCTGACACACACCCCTCCATGACCCCTTCCAACCCCCCCCCCCCTAAGATCCTAAGAAACTTAGTCTGGGAACCATCAGGACATGTTTTATTTGATCAACATGTACATCCAGTGAGGAAGAAAAAAACACCAACTAAAGTATGACACGGAAGATACGGTTTCTAGGGTCAGATGTTGGTTTCCAGAATACAAAAGAGAGCAATGGAGAGGGCAGAGGCGGCCATTAGAGTGGGGCGGCCCACAACCCACCGTCAGTGGCTTCGTGCTCCACTTTTGGGTCCCAACCCACAGGCTGGGAAACTCTGTGTCAGATCCCCACTCCTGTTACTCTCAACAACTCTCTCTTGGCAGTGATAAGTTTATTGAGATATATGCAAGATCCAGAAAGTCACTGTGTTAGAACTGAAGACTTTTGGCGGGTACAAGCTTAATACAGATAATTCGAATAAAAGACCCTTCCTTCCCCCATGCATACGTCACATTCACACTATGCTTAGTGTTGCATTTCCAACCAAGTGAAAGATATATGTCTTGGTTATCTGCAGCACAAGCTGGTACAGAAAAGCTCTCAAGGACACCTTACCTTGGGAAACGGAAAGGAGGTGCGACTTGCAAAGAAAGTTATGACTTCTAGAAGCAAAGGTCCCATTCTCTCACACATTCACTCCACACACCCCTCCCCACAGGAATTCCCTCCCCCCAATAACTATGGCAACCAAAGCGCAAAGCGAAGCATGGTTTGACACACCACTCTAGAGGACAAGACTGGATCAAGTGGCTTTAAGTTCCAGGAAGGCTGATTTCGGCTGAACATCAGGTGAAATGTCCTAAAATTTCCACTTGTGGGGTAGGGCGGGGTATAAATTGAACAAACAACAACAGTAGTAATAATAAAAGCAAGAACAGTTTAACAGCAGAACCTTGCTTGATGGGGTGATGGTCAAAGTTCCCTCTAAGCTGTGGAGTCCTGTGAGCAAAAATTCTACTTTGTGAGCTACTGGCATTGAAGTTGTGAGCAAGCGATTTGGATACTGCATAAATTAGTTTGCTCTGGAGCCAACCTTCCTGAGCTGAGACTAAAATGTGTGAGCTAGAGGCTAAAAAAACTGTGAGCTACCTCACACTAACTCAGCTTAGAGGGAACACTGGTGATGGCCTTTCCCTTGCTAGAGACTGCCGGAGGCTAGGCAGCCATCTGTTGGGGATGTTTTAGCTCTATACTCCCTGCATTGAGCTATAATTCTGTGACTCTTAAGTGCCTCTAGAGTTCCCAGACATGAATTAGCTGCCTAAAAGTGAGAGGCCAGAGAGAATGAGGGAGGAGGAGGCACTTCCCCAGTTACCAGTTTAACTGCGGCCTGCCTTACATTTTGAGGCCTGAGTTCTGAAGTGCCAAAATCTGATGTGTGATGAGGTACCGGTTTGAGGTGTCAAAGCTTCTGCTCTTTCATTTAGTCACTGTAAGTTGTGTCAAAAGCCTCTCACTTCCAAGGAGTGGAAGCCACAGAAGAGGCCCTCGCCTTCCCCCCCTCCCCTTTCCCCCCCTGTCAGAGTTTCTGCCCGTTTCATTCAAACTCCTCAGGCTGCTTTTTGCTCGGAGGCTGCGTCGAGACTTTTAAGATTTCCGGGCTGCTTTAACAGGGCCTCGGAGCAGAAATCGTCGAGCGTTGCCTCGGAGCAGAAGGCCACTGGCGAATTCAGGGAACTTGAGGGAAACATTGACAGCCGGTCGGCAGCCAGCAGCGGGGGACTTGATGGGCCGTCAGAAAGATTTGGAAGCGTGGACAGGAGGGGTGCCGGTTGGAGCTGGCACCAAACTGGGTTTCCCCAAAGCTGACTGATGACTTCAGGAGACCCTGAGGCAGGAGAATCAGTTCCTCTTGGGCAAGTCAGGGGGAAAGCTGAAGGGGCTGAATGAAGAAACAGAAACCGAGGAAGAGAAACTGCCTCAGCTGACATCAGCCATGGTTCAAGCCAATTTAACACAAACGCTGGTTTGTATCCCTGGCTTAGAGGGCTGCTGCTCAGAAAGGCAACCAACGGAAGGCTTGGACTGTTGACTTCGTCACTGAACAAGATTCAGCAAAAAAAATAGTCAGTCCCCCCCCACCCCCCCCCCAGACGTTGTCCTAGGAAATACTGAAGCATACCGTGGCTGAATGGCAGAAGAGAAGTCATAAAATTCTGCCCGTGACTGATAGTCCGGCAGTTCTGGCATATTGGGGCTGCCCAAAGGTTACCTGTGCATTCAACTGCATTCACTTAGGTCAGGGGTGGCCAAACTGTGGCTCAGGAGCCGCATGCGGCTCTTTCACACATATTGTGTGGCTCCCGGCAGGGTGGCTGGGGAAGCTAAATATCATTAGCAAACAAATGTCATTGGACAAATAAATATCATTATCAATATCTGCTTTTACCCCTTTTGTTATTATTTTTGGCAGTCTCATTTAATGTTAGTAAAAACCAAATTTGCATATTTTCCAATAAAACATGTAATATCTGTTCATGCCTTGCGGCTCTCAAATATCTGATGTTTATTTTATGTGGCTCTTACATTAAGCAAGTTTGGCCGCCCCTGACTTAGGTGATCTCTAACCTGCCTTTCTGTTTCAAGACTTGGACCCTAAGCGGGAGAAAAGTGGATTAATTTTTTCCCACCCAAATATTAAGTTCAGATGGAATACCCAGGGCAAAGTATAGAGTAAAATTCAACAATATTAAGAGAATAACACGTAAATGACTTTTAAAAAAATTTCTTTTTTTTCTTCAATCCCCCTGGGGGAAGGTTTTTATTGGGGTTTTTTTTTCAGACTACAAAACTACAACAGAAAATATATAGGGAATGGAACTACAACTAGGGGAAACAGAAAAGAAACCCACAACTAACTAAAAACTCAAGAGTAGGAGATCAATATCTCAGCTTATCATCATGCTATTTTCAAAAAACAATCAATACTACAATTAACTTAGTCGGTTATGCTAGATTATTATTATTTAACCATCCCTTTAACTGTTTAAAGTGATCCCCAGAGCATCCCCAAGTTATTTCAACACTTTTTTCAGGCACACATCAGAGTCCTTCAGCCCTTATTTGTTCTTATCTTTTCTAATCCTCAGTTTATATAGGCTTTTGGGGGCAGCCGCCCCCTTTTCTGAAGAGGAGTCCTCGCCTGAAGTCCCCAAGCCCAACTCGCCATCAGATTTGCTTTCTTCTTCCTCCCCTTTGCCCTCCTCTGGTTCCCCAAGCTGTGTTTGCAGAAATTCCCGTGCTTTGAAAACAGAGTCAATCTTTTCTTTTTTATTATGGAGCTTGAAAACGACGCCTTCTGGGATTACCCATCTGTAACTGATAGAATTTGTTTGTAAGAAAAGGATTAATTCTTTATAGTTTTCTCCTCTGTTTTATATCAAATGGAACGTCTTTTAAAATCCTGATATTATTGTCCCCAATTTTCAAGGGTGTTCCTGAAGTTGCTTTCAGAATAGCATCTCTCACATTTCTCTTCTAGAATCTGACCACTATTTACCCAGGCAGATTATTTTTCTTGATGTATGATGAATAAG